CTTCTAGATTTTTCTATTGAATCTTTATGGATATGTCGCTTTTTATGATCGGCTAGAGGAATATAAGAATGGAATATCGAGGAAATCGGAGATGAATAAATTCGGAAGAAATAAATGTGTTGATGACGGGAGTGGGAACCACTCGCAAACGGACCAGTAACAAATATTCCAATTTTTAACTTGATATTTGACTCACCATCCCCCAAATTACTCGATATTTTCACCTGCCACTGGATCAACCGCTCCCGCGTGTCAAAAGCAAGAACGACGATTAAATCCTGGCATATTATAGCCACTGTGTTGGACTCTTTATCAAGAGTCAAACCGCTCTCAATTCCCAAAAAGTGCTGCAGGCTCAGAGATGCTTTAGTCTGCCCCTGCTTGTACCGGTCTTTGCTGTCCCCATACAGTTGCAGATGTAAACAGTCTGTAAGAAAATATGTACAATTGAAAGTTGGATAATAAGAGATCGGAGCGTGTCGCACGGCAGATGTGCGTCTTGGAATAATTTTCTTTTTTGTGGTCTTCTCCCTCGTGCCACCCATTAGAACAGATGTTGCCGTCTCTCAAGGGCGACCCGGGGATTGACTCGTGATAAGTCAGGGGGATATTTCCAAATTGGAAAATTTAAAATAGATACTTCTCTCGAGTGCCACTTAACTGTTTGTGGTGACGACTCAGAAATAACTGAGTGGAAATCATAATTAAGGGGACGTCCCATTTTAGTGGTCCATTTACAAGGAATTTTTGATCTTTGAGTTTTTTCGGGGAATTCATTAGTATCTCAATCATTAGTTGAATTTTTTTAATTACTAGTCGGGGTTGAGGATGAAGTGTCGATTTTTTTAATGTCGAGGAATTTTTAATTGGGGACTTAATTCATTTAGAATTGAATTTATTTGTAATGAATGAAAGAAATGGAAAACTTTGCGGTTTCAAATCCAATCCTGTTTTCTGGGTGGGTCTTTACAATTTTGAATGAAGTTCAAATTTGAGAAACTCCTTCAGGCGATAGGAACTTCGAGTAGTTCAACTTGAAACTAATATTTGGGGAGAATTGTCACGCGGATTATGTGTCCGGGTATTGGAATGGCATTTCACGCCGGATTAGAATGAAATATGACTTTCAGTTTGAAATTGGAGGGGAAATAATTATCGGCAGCTCGAGTTACGTAAAAAAATGCCCGTAACACATGGAATATACTGAGAAATATTAATCAACTGTTTCTTTTGTATCGTTTTTCGCTTCCACGTGATGGGGTTTATTTTATGGGAGTAAATATTATGGGAAAATAATTGTTTGGTGCTTTATATTATTATTTACCTGCTACTGGCGACAGCTTTCGCATCACACACCACCGTGACTTCCACTGTAAACAAAAAATTCTCAGCATCAGACAAAACATTCGTGAGACCCATAATAAAAGAACCCCAAAACAATCTTTTTATTAACGTCAATGTAATACTCCATTTCCAGATGGTGAGGAATCATTTCTTGAAAGGACGGATTATTTATCTAAAATATTCGATTGCCGGCAATTATCAATGCGAAATTAAATTATTATTCATTATAATTTATAATATAACTACAATAATTATTTAGTTGCAGTGAAAAATGATTGCAGAACACGAATACAATTTTGCCCTTTCCCTGTTTTCATCATTCTGCAAAATTGAGGGAAAAATACATGAAAAAACTATCAAAAAATCCCAAAACTTGAATAATCAATCATCCGTCTCTAATTATTTCTTTCGACTGAAAATTAATAACCAAAACGATCCCAATACCTCAAAAATTCCCTTAAAAAATATCGAACTTCATTCTCACTGGATTATCCCAAAAAAAAAACTCAAATCATTCGACATCCCCGACATTATCATTATTATTCCCATTATCCCGAATGTCCTGGGGGATGTAGGGGTGTTAGTGTCGTGAATGTCAATAAATTTGACACGGAATAACAGCCCTTTTGTTTCCCAATTATTCCGAAAAATCTACAAAAAAACCCACATGTCCAAAAATCCCTGAAAATAAAAAAAAAAATATCCAGAATCACTCACTTTTTTGCCGTCCCGGAATTTGACATTCCCCTCGATAATGCAATTGTTATCCACCATTGTAGTACGATTGTATTCCACCGTGAAATTTATCACTCATAACTGCACATTCTATTCCACAAAAAACTCGTTTACTCTCGTTATTTTTCACTGACAAATGGTATATTATGTCGTTAAACGGAATAGAATAACGCGGGGAAATACTTGAATTTCATGGAGCAAATGGAGAATCCATCTTGACTTGGACAACTAGTCTAAATCGACTGGAGGGAGTCTGGAAGGTGCCCTCAACCCCTCTTCACTATTTTCCGGGAAGTGGGGATTGCGCACTGAACAGAAGCCATTCCCCACTTTAGCGCACCTCAAATCCTTCATTTTATCAACTCCCATGTGTTTACTTTGACGAGGGGTGGGTTGAAGGGGGATGAAATGAAATACAAGTCCGGGGGGTTCGGAAAATGCGCGGCTACTACGCGGTGTCAACGCGTCCATGTAGACGGCGCGTCCATCGCGTCCCCAGAAGGCGCCATAACTAGTCAAAATACAAACTAAATAAATAAAAAGCCATTAAATAATAAGCACAAACATTAACTAATAACTAGATAAACATCAAAATTATTATAATAACAATTACGGATCACTGATTAATGAAAAATCATCTTTCCTCCTCTTTTTTTCGGGGTCTGTATTTAAAAAATTGGATTAAAATCGAAAAACCGGAAATCATGAATTTAGATTAATTACAAATAATTCGTTGATTATAATATTATATTGTTTTTATGTTTTAATTGGTGGGTACTCAAATAAATTGAATTCTAGAGAAAAATAAATAATGGGAGATAAAAATAGTTCCCTCCAAAATTCAAATGGAGTGAATGCTTCAGGATTGCTGATTCGTTCGTCATCTTGGAGCGGTCAATTGCCCTCTGTTGAAGGCATTTACTCGAAAATCTCAATAAATTCCGATTTTGGAGGTTACTGTAGCTTTTCTGGACAATTTTGATTATTCCATAGGTCTTGAGACAACACTTGACAACAATTGAATGAAAAAAACGTGAAAAATCCGGGATAACCCCGATAAAGTGATAAACAAGTGAGAAAAATACCTCGAGAAAGAAACAGAACAGACAGGACTTGCATACTGCAGTTATGTGCTTCCCCCACAATAATAGGATTGTTTTATGGTGATAATATGTCAAAATCAAACATAAGAAAAATAACAGTTGACCCTACGAAATGTAATACAGACTCAAGGAGGCCAAGTGTTTTTGAAAGATTGGGGACTAAACCAGTGGCCACTGGGACACAACAAATAACGTCTGATTATTGTAGGAATTGGGCATTGAATGGCAGTTGTTCGTATGGTAAAACTTGCAAGTGAGTATTTTTTATTTTATGTTTATTTTCTGGCGGTAAATAATTGATTATTCAATGTTCTATTCTTCTTCTAGATATGCAAACACTCATACTCTTATAAGCCCCTCGAAAAGAGCGAAGAAGGACTCAGCAAATGCCAGTGCCCCAGTGGTAAGTGAAATTACTCTAATAAAATTCAATGAGCCAACGCAAATTGCGGGAAAGTCTCATCTTAAAAGATTCTGTTATCATTTCTTCATGACGTCATCCTTGTTTTATCAATATCTCCGAAGGAAAGGGGTTTCCAGAATTTTTCTTGGGGACTTTTTTGTAGGGAATTTTCTGAGCTACAAAAAAGTTTCATGAAATTTTTCTCTAAACCCCAATCTTTCTGAAATATTTACGGGAACATCCGTAGAAAATCCCAGTTCCATCTCCATCAGTTCTACACTCTCCTCCGTGCTTCAACCGGAATTTTCTCCTTAACCGTTCATGTTAGAAAAAAAAACTCATAAGACTTTTTTGTCGACAATTCCATAATCCAAAAAATTTTCCTTTGACATTTTCCCATAAAATCTTTTCCTGGGGATATAATCCTCAATAACGAAACCCTCCATGGTTTCCAGACGAAAGAGGATCCATTCAAGCGCGTCACGTCAAAAATAGTAAAGAAAACCCCCCATTCCCCGGACTTAAACCTCGAGGAGTGGAATCAAACAGATCTCGAGTACGAGGACGAAAAGGTCCTGGAGCGCCGCCGTCAGCTGCTGCAACGCGAGCTGGAGCTCCAGATGAAAAAAGACAAAGAGGTACACCCAAAAGAGCGACCTAAACACAAAAAGAAAATCATGACATCGTCTTCCTCCTCTCACTCCTCCTCGTCCTCGTCGTCCTCGAGTTCCTCCTCCAGCGAGGACTCGTCATCCTCCTCCTCGTCATCCTCCCGTAAGAAACTCAAAAAGACAAAGCAAAAGCGCGCACCAAGTCCTCCTTCAGACTACGAGGACGACAAAGACCGAAAGAAAAAATTGAAACTCAAAAGACTAGCCAAAACGGAAAAAAACCCGAAGAAAAAGCGAAAACTTGAGGTCGCACCTTCAAAAAAGGACAAGGACCTTCCGAAGGCCTCGAAGAAGGCCCTCCCTCAACGAAAGCACTCGGTAATTCGTCCTAAATCCCCAACTACATCCGCAAAACCGAAGGAAATTCGAAATCGAAGTGAATCCCCAACGAAATCTAAACGCGATCCTTCCAAGGACCTCCCAAAACGCGTTCGAACCTCCGAGGACCCTAAAGACCCTCTGAAAGACCCAAAAGACGCAAAATTGAGGCCCGAAAAATTAAAGGACATCGAAAAGCCGAAGGTGCGCCTCCCGGAGGAAAAACCCCCCGCGAAACAAAAATCAAAATCGAAAGAGAGAAGATCACGTACTCCTCCGAAGCCTCAGAAATCGCCCCTCCTCTTGAAACGCCGGAGTAGAACCCCTGAGAAACGTCAACCGATAAAACGTGATTCACCTAGGCCCTCGAAGCCCTCGTCGACACCTTCACGGCCCTCCTCGACGCCATCGAAACCGAAGGATCGAGAGATTCACAAGCCGGAGCGAAAGGATCACGACAATCCCCTGAAAAAAATGGAGTCTCTAAAACCTCGTGCCCTCCAGGAGGAGCTCCGCAAGCCCCTGCCACGTGATCTGGAGGACAAAAGGAGATTGAAGGAGCACCGGGAGGAGCGGAAACCCCCCCACGACCCGCGGGAGGACAAACTCCATCCAAGACGGGATAAGGATCGTGAGGATCGGCCGAGGGAGAGGGAGGAGCGCCCTCGTGATCTCAAGGACATGAAAATTGGCCCTTCCCCGTTGATGGACAAGAGGTACCTGCGGGAGAAGGAGAAGCCCAAGGAGCTCCTGCCCAAGGATGACAAACTATCGAGCAGGGATCGTAGAGGGGATCGAGAGAGGGATCGCAATCCTCCGAAATTCGATAAATACGAGAAGGATCAGAGGTTCAGGGAGAGATCGCCTGAGAAATCGAATTTAGAGCGAGAGGTGTATGATAGGAATCGACACAGAAGGTTCGGGAGGTTCGACGAGAGAAAGGACAAGGAGTTTCCTCCAAAGGTTGAGAGGCGAGAGAGTCCCAGGGGAATGGAGGTCGATCGAAGCTTTGATCGAGGTTACCAAAGACTCGAGTGGGAGGGACCGGAGGACAGCCACTTCCACGATGACGAACCCCGGAGGAAAAATCCGGAGGGCAGAAGATTTAACTCACCATTCGTGGAGAGACGAAATCGCGAGAGGGAGGAAAGGGGTGAGGTCAGGAGATATCCAGAGAGAAATTTTGAGGAGCACCATCATCATTTCCCTCAGGAGCCGAGGGAGAAGGTGAGGGCTGTGGACAGAAGAGAGGAAGGAGAAAAGTGGGAGCCAGAGCATGGGAGAGAGAGATATCCAATTCCTCAGCCATTAGCTCCGGAGTGGGAGGAGCGTGAGTGGAATTCAAATAGGGCGAGGCCAGGAGCTAGGGTGGAACGGAGTGAGTGGGAGCGAGAGAGTGTTCCAAGGTCGGAAGCACATGAGGAGGACTGGAACCAGAGGTATGACAGTCCAATGTCAGAGTGGAAGGTCAATGAGGCGAGCAGAAAGTGGGAGAATCCCCAGGTGCATTTGCGGGGGAATTACAGGAGTGAGAGGATCAAGGAGATGGAGATTGATCTGCATAAGAGACGACCTTATGGCACTGGCACTCCGGAGGTCGATGGAGGATCTCATGGATCCAAGCAGAGTTCACTCCATGGAAGTATGAAAGAGGAGCCGATTAACAAAAAATTGATGGAACTGGCGGAGGGCAGACCTCGGAGGAGCAGAGAAAAGTCGGAGGATTCGTTTGGAAAGAAGGGCGGAGGGAAGGACAAGGGAGGGTCGGTCCTTCCGGAGGTCAAAGAGCCTCCGGAGCCGAAGAGATTGTGTCTGGATGAATCAGTGGCGCATCATACAGAGAGCGATCTCAGTGATATCAGCGATGATCCTGATGATATATTGAATATGGAGGAGGAGGAGAATGATAAGAAGGTCGTTGAGGAGGAGGGGCTTCCATCGACACCCCGTCAGGATCCTCGGGAGTCACCGGAGGATGTTCTCCAGGGTGAGGAGCCTGGCGTCATTTCTAAGGAGAGGAAGGAGGAGAAGGAGGAAAGGGAGGAGCCGATGGAGGAGGACAACTTGGAGACGATGGACTTTGAGGAGATCTCGGATGGAGAGCTCGAGGAGGACATCAAGACCAGTGGAAAGGGCCTTGGGGATGCTCTTGGTGTGGACTGGGAGAGTCTTGTTAAGGAGTCACAGCCCAGGCGAGGGAATCAGGAGTGTGAGGAGAGAGCTCAAGGCAGGTGGGAGTGTAGGGCTATATTCCAGAGGATCGGGATCTCTAGGAGGTATGCTGGGGATGAACTTGTTGATAAACTCTGTGCGAAATATGGGGATGGGGGAGATTTTTTGCTCAGTGGAGTTGCTATGGTTCATGCTGGAATGTGGAGGCAGAAGGTCCTGGGGGGTGATGGGGATGGAGAGGGCGCTAGCGACGAGGATGAGGAGGTTCTCAAGCCCTTTGTTGAGCTCTTTGAAGAAGCCAAAAAAATGGTGGAGGGAAATTGTTGAAGGCTGTGGAGAGTGTGGGGAGGGCCTATAGGGTGCTGCGGAGGGTTAAATGGGGATCGAGATAAATAGATCGTGTAGCAGCTTTTCGAATCGGAAATTTTTTTGTCTATCCAATGAAAATGGTTGCAAATTAATACGACGAATTTGAGAAAACTTTTTTTATTTAGTCAACTACAAAAAAATTCGAGAATGACATTTGGGTTTCGAGTGTATAAATTTATGGCAATAGTTTGAATCAAGATTGGTTGATCAGGAGTTTTTTTGTGTGGGAATTCTATGGGATGCGTCGGGGAGGTTCGACGGTGTTTATTGATGAATTCCAAGAGCGTTTTATTGTCGGGAGATGGGCACTGGTGGGTGCCGTGATGGGTTTTCTTGTTTGATCAATATAATCAGGGGTGAGTGCGTGCTGAGGTATGCGGAGGCTTGAGGGATTTTAGATCATCCGGCGATGCTACGTCATCCTGCAGAATCTCCACGGCTTTGTCGAGAATTTTGAGGGTTTCCCGGGTGAAATCCTGGGGAGAAATATGAAAAATGTGACACTCAACATAAAATTTATTCATCGATTGATTATTGATAAGTCTGGAAATAATGTAATGAGATATATCGAAGAATATAAATTTAGGATATGGAAAAATATCTTTTGTTAATAAATTAATTACAAATTTATTCCCTGCTTTTTTACTTACCTTTGACTGCGGTGACGATATCTCGTAGTTCTTTCGAGATAATTGTTCGTTTTTTGTGCAATATAATTCATATAGAATGAATCCTGAAAATTAACAGAACATTTGGAAGATTTAATTACGATTCATTCAATTATTTAATTAATTATTACCCTTCATTTGACAATCGCCTAGTTGCAATTCATTTATTACATCCAACAGATCCTGACAGTATTTTGATTTTATTTGGAGCTCTTCATCAGTTAAATCTAGATTAAAAATATTATTTATTTAGTTATTCTCGAAGGATTTTTTGTAATAAAATTGTACCTTCGAAATAAAGTCCTTGAGTTCTCCCGAAATACGAGACAATTCGATATTTCATCTGTAACATCGAACTATTCGTCTCTGGTACGACAATTTTTAACTGTTTCTCCACGAATTTCAGAATATCTCGGGGAGGATCGTGCAGGTATTTATTTATTATCGAGTCAATCCCCGAGATGATCGTCTTCATCTGGACAGAATAAATTATTTGAATAAAACATCGACGATGTGGAGATTATTTTCTACCTGTCGAGAGGAGACCTCTTGATGGCATTCCTCACAGGTCCAGGGTGTTGTCCAGCTGAGGGGGTCATCAGGGAGAATCAGCCCATGACAGTCCATACTCGCACACCAAAGAGCTCCAACTTTACTCCCAAATTCCTTAACAAATTAACAATAACAAATAAAGTGACGACGGGTCGAGTTTTCAGTCAATAACTTCGAATCTATCAGAGATATCGATATTTCACATAAGATCTCTAATGCAGATCGAAACAAGACCTACAAAAAAGGTCTTTACAAATTTTTTTTCTTTTCCTCCCGATTCTAAAATATTCAGCGACAACCGACCATCTCTCGTAATTTTCGAAATATTAATGAATTATTCAATTAATAAAATTGTTAAAATTCTGAAAAAAAAGGGATTGACTTGGGATTGAACTCACAGAAGGATCAGAGCATCGCCGACACCTGCAATCGAAATGCTTGGACATCATGAGGTATCTTCTCCTGATGTAGGTGTCCCAGAGAGGATTTAAATACGTCATGGTCAGTTCCTCGTCTTTTTTTATGTCCACAGTTGCGCAAATGCTCATTAAATCGTTACTCCTGAAGTAATGCCGAGTGTTTGGAGTGCACGAGTGATTCTGCATTGCCCCCAGGGGATACAAACCCCTGAGACTTATCGTCCTGGACTCATCAGCGGGTGTCCCTGTCTCCATCGCATTCGTATCCATCACTCGACAGACTTTCAGCATAAATTCCTCGTCCTTCCGGTTAATCTCCTCTCCCACATTCCTTTTCAATAATTCTATCTAACTCATTATTATTTAATTGCCATCCATCGATTCTCTCCCGCCCAACGAAAATATATTTAAACAATCCACCCATTTTTTAAATTCAACTCAATTTATTTATCAATTAATAATATTGTTGTGGAAATATTTTCGCGTGAGGAAGAGATAAATATAAATTATTTTTAAAATATTCATGAAAAAACTGAATTTCACCTCTCGTCCGTGGAGTTCGCCCTCGTGTCCCTTCATGGCCATCACGAGTTCTTTATCGTCATCTCCAAGAGCTAGAGAACGAACCGGAAGTACCGAGAGGAGGAGATCCTTGGAGAACATTGAACCGCAGGTTGGTCTCCACTTTTTCAACTGATCGCACTCTCTCTCCACGTGATCCTTTGAATTTTCACATGCATCCGAACAGATCGGGAGTCCGCATCCTCTGTCACAGGGAAAAAGTGTAATTCCAGTCTTGTAGCAGTTGACGCACATCGGTGGATATTTTTTGTAACACCTGGGGCCGAGGATCAGGGGTGCATCCACCGCGATTTCCTCACCCTGGATTATATCACGGGCGGCGAAGAGACCGCGACCATTCAGGTCCGAAGATTTCAGACACCACGGGGAGTTATCGGGGGGTGAAATACCCCGGGAATTTAAATACCGACGGAGAAGATGCTCCATTCTCTCGGGATCCTCCATTTCACGAAAATTTTATATCCCTTTTTTATTTTATATTCCTCTCTGCGAAACAAATAATCAACAGTTGACAACTTCTCACGAATTATTCATTATCTCGAGAGTGACGAGAGTCAGAGTAAAAGTTTATTAGAATTTTTTGTAGGGAATTCTATTTTCTATAAAAAAAGTATTTATGAATTTTCCTGTAAAATCAGTAGTTACAGATATAATCGTCGTCTACAAAGTTGCAGGTTCTAATTTTAGGGTTTCGAAAATAGAAAGTTCCCCGGAATTCCAGATAAAATTCTTTTTCGCTGCGATAGGAATTTTTTAAATCTCTTATTTCCTGATTAACTTACAACAGACTCAACTTACGATCCGTGACAATTGAGAGACTGAATAATCGGTGTGGAGACTTCTCTGAATCAGCAGAAAAAGACGACTAGATCAGAACTCCACTATTTCTCTACATATATCTGGGGTTCGAAATAGATCGCGCCAGACCCGGACACCCTACACCCATCAACTATTTTATTTATACAGATAATAAACTACAGATTGCCCTCGTAAAATCGACAATCGGATATACCGATCACAAAAAATTATAAAAACCCCCAAAAAAATCATGAAATCTCTCAATTAAATTCTAGATCATTCCATCCTTTCCTCTTCTTAAAGAATTTAAATAATTGAATCTTTCCCAAAAATCCCATAGATCATCATTAGGATTAATATCCTGAGATATATCTCGTTAACGACTTAATTATTTAAATTATATGTTCAATGACAAATTGGTAATTAATAAAAATATTTAGTGCTATTTATCTGAATTGAATTTTAGTTATCACTGGATAAAAAATTATCGAGCGTGATGGCACGCAGGCGTATGTCCACCCGGTGAATAAAGTACCCTTTGTTGTTTACATGTTGTCATAGATACAAAGGGTTCACCAATGTATACAAGCCCTGTACATAGCAATCATTTACTCGGCGGTTCATTTTAACCCGCGCCAGTATGACGATAAGGTAAATCCAGTGCTCGCCATTCGATTTCTCATCCATTGCACGTTATAAAATCGATTAAATACTTTTTTTTTGTCGTCGAGTTGATGGGAATAAAATTTAACAGTGAAATTGTTGACGAGAGTGGTTAGTTTATTTATATTTTAACTGGGATTTTACAGATCGGTAAGATTCCTGCGGCAACAAGTGATCATTGTTGCCGTCCTGTCATCCATCCTCGAATGGTCTTCAGCATTGGATTGCACAACCGATCCCTGCATGTACGGAATTTGCCTGGACACCGCGAACAGGTCTGAATCCTCCCAAAAAAACATTAATAACAACAAAAAATCGTTAACTCTACACGCCGCATTTTGTTCGCTCGCTTATCTATCAATTCCTCACAAAACTATTGATTACAGAAAAAAACGTCCAGTACCTTTTTCATAGAAAATTTTATGAGCTACAAAATCTGCCTCTTGATATTTTCTTCTAAAATCAATAATTCCTGAGATATGACTGAATATTCAAGAAAGCTGTAAAATTTCGATTTTCGGATTTTGCGATCTCGTTACTTCTATTCACTGAAGTACCGATTTGAGTAATGAGTACATAAAATTACGTGTTTTTATACAGTACATACTCGTGTTATTGCATCGACGGTTACACTGGAATAAATTGCGAGATAAACTGGGACGACTGTTGGTCGGATCCTTGTATGAACGGTGGCACATGTACAGACGCTGTCGCCGCTTACAATTGCACTTGTCCCGAGGGATTCATTGGTAATTACTCACCCTTCCCCCTATTATCTAATGATTCACGACAAATTCATCCCGATCAGGTACTAATTGCGAGCAAAAGTACAGCGAGTGCATGAATCAGCCCTGTCTCAATAACGGAACGTGCATTGATTACAACGGATTCACGTGCCAATGCCAAGACGGATATTCCGGTGATTACCTATAATCATAATAATAATAATAATAATAATAATAATAATAATAATAATAATAATAAAATTAACTAATCTAAAAATTGCAGCAGCACATGGAGAATTAATTAACCATTGAGATCTCTCCTGTGAAATATCTTGAGTGGAAATTTAAAAGATTCGGGGAAAGCACTGGTTTCTGTGTGATTATCAGGCACAAGTACTATTTTTTGTAATTGTTTCAGGCGAGTACTGTGAAATTGATATTTCCGTATGCAACAGTACGATCTGCAGGAATTCAGGTGAATGCATCGACGGTCCCGGTTACTCCTTCAAATGCAGATGCAAGGAAGGCTGGACCGGTGAATTCTGCGAGGAAGATGTCGACGAGTGCCTGAGTTCTCCCTGCCTGAACGGTGGCCTATGCCTGAACATACCCGCGTCATACACCTGCGCGTGTCTATTCGGTAATTGAATTTAAATAAAAAATAAAATCACAAAAAAATCTGATAATCCATCATCACCGAAAAATTCGGAAAAAATGTCCCCAAAGGATTCACCGGAAAAGACTGCGACAAAGCCGTCATCACCTGCGACGTGAACCCATGCCTGAATTCAGCGATGTGCCTCCACGAGGATGGCCAACCGATTTGCTATTGCGTACCCGATTATCACGGGCCCCTCTGCGAGCTCCGTTACAACGACTGCGAATCAAAATTCGCAAAGTGCGAGAATGGTGGCACATGCATCGACGGGATCAATGCATATACGTGCAACTGTCCAGGGCCCTACACAGGGCCCTCATGCGAGGAGATTATCCCCTGGAGTACCGCCCCGCCAAGTACCCCCAGTACATCAACAATATCCACAACTGTCAACTTGACTCAAAGTTACGATCTAAAACCGGTGACAGACGCTTTCAGTGACATCTCCACAGTACTTCTTGACGTTGTGACCTCTACAAGGTCATTTGAGGGTCAAAGTACTTTAAAAACAACTTTTGACAGTCGCCCTGTCACAAAAAGTACATTCGACGATTCAAGCACAACGAGAAGTACTTTTCAAAGTCAAAGTGCAACGAGAAGTACCTTTCCGAGTGAAAGTGCAGCATCCAGTACTTTTACTCATGGAAGTACAAGTACTTTTGAGGGTCAAAGTACAACCCCAACTACTTCGACCCACAGAAGTACGACAAAAAGTGTTTTTGAGGGTCGAAGTGATGACGATATCGGTGGCACTACCATGTCTGATTTAGTGACACAAAGTACTTTCAGTACTTCTAGTACGGTCAGGCCTATTGGTACTTCACCGAGTGTTTTTAGATTATCAAGCACTACTGCGGATTTCGATTATGGAGGGCGGAATGCTACGCCTAGAGCATTAGTCACAAGTACCAGTACTAGTGGTACTCGGGGTATTAGTACTTTTGGTACTTCGGGAGAAGGCGAAACGACTGTTTCGAGTACTGGGGGAACAGAGGGAGGGGGAATGGTGACGATGGTCAGTGTAACGAGACAAGCGGAAAGTACTACAAGGGCCTATGAAGGAGGGGTTAGTACTTCGGGGGGAGACGTCACCAAGGGCCTATCCTTTAACTGCACGTTGGATGGAAAAAATTCTACTAGTGTAAGTGAAATTATTTCTAGGGAGAGGACAATTAAGTTTAAAAATTCACTGATTGTTTTTTTTATGTTTATTATTCTGTTGTTTACATGTTTATGGAATTGGTGATGGATTTTTTTAGTGCAATTGCACGGAGGTGGATGGCTGCGGTATTTTTTCAAGCATTAAAAATGCCGCGTTCAATGGAAAATCGTATGTCAGACAGCAAGTGAAAATCGGTGATGATGGAATGCTGAGGATTTATCTGCAATTGAGGACTAAGTCGAAGAGTGGAATTATTCTTCATGCATTTTTCGATGAGGAAAGGTATGTCTTATTGTATGTGGAGTTCGGACAGCTGAAGTTTCAGTTCTCGTGCGGTCTTCAGACTATGCTCCTGGGGGAGATCGATACCCCCATTAATAATGGCCACGATGTTGATGTCGAAATACGGTAAGGCACATTTCAGAATTAATCCTGAATTTTTTAAGGGATCAATTCCCTTCCTCGTCTCTCCGGAAATCAATTCTCCCATTAATTTTCACAATTATCTCAATATACTCAATAATAGAAAATTAAAAATAATTAAATCTCTCGGTTAAATAGAATGATAAAAACAATTTATCTGTTTTTTAATTGAAAAAACTATTGATTTTAGGAGAGAATATTGATATATCATAATTTCATTGTGCAGAATTAATTATTCTTTGAATTCTCGGATATTCTCAGGTTTCGGTACATGGTAGAGGATAAAATCGGCAAGTGTTTAGCCCAATTATTTGTGAATGGAACAATGGCGATGAGTGGTGAGCAGATGCTGGCGGCAAGGGATGAGATTCCAGGATCTGTCAGACTGCACTTGGGGGGAATTCCCCAGGCGTTTTCCCACTATTTCCCCAGGATCGCCCTGGGATTCATCGGGTGTATGGGTACCCTCAGGGTGAACGACGCGTTGAGGCACTTTATCCACGACTCCGTCGAGACATTCCAGATCGAGGAGTGCACGTCCTTCTTGTGCTTGCTGAATCCCTGTCGAAATTTCGGTTCCTGTCATGACATCGATGGAAAAATCTACTGCAAATGCATCGCAGGGTAATTTCAGGACTCAATTAAACTCAGAATAATTTTTATAAAAACCATTTTGTTGCAGATATTCTGGAGAAATGTGTGAAAAAACAGCTTGCGATGACAATCCCTGTTACTTCGGGGCGACTTGCATCAGTTCCCCAGGGACTGGATTTATTTGCGTCTGTCCCATGGGAATGCACGGGCTGAGGTGTGAGGAAGGTGAGACTTTCAATAAAAAATCCTAAAAAATCACACGTGAATCATTATTATAAATTGATATTTCAAATAAATTTACAGAATCGACAATAGTTCAGCCTTCCTTCTCAGTATTTATCCCAGGATTCTCGTCGTACGCAGCCTACGGGATAAATGCTGGAGTTAAAGACAGCATGGAGTTCAGGATGAAAATTCTCCCTCACTCTGTGGATCAGATATCCCTTCTGGCGTACATGGGCCAGAGTGCCCCAGGGGGTGACATCCCCGATCACTTCTCCGTGACGTACGTCAGGGGATTTATTATGCTGACATGGGATCTGGGCTCGGGGGTACGAAGGATCTTCACGAGGAGTCCTCTGTCCTCCAAAGTCCAACGACCTCATCTACTGAGGGTGGGTAGAAGGGGGAGGGATGCGTGGCTGTTTGTCGATGGTATTGGAAATTTTACTGGACAAGCTGCTGGTACAATGACTCAATTGGATGTCTCTCCAATACTTTATATCGGTGCGAATATCATTTCTTTAAAATATAAATTAAATAATCCTTGATGCATCAAAAACGAAAAATTGATTCTGATATTTGGATTTGAATTTTCCGCAGGTGGACATAAATCGAAGAATTTTGAATCACTGCCACACGATCTGCCACTGCACACTGGATTTACAGGGTGTATTTACGATGTGGAATTGCTGACAGACAATCAGGTCTTCCCCGTGACAAAATCGAGTCCAGCCACTGGGCGAGGGGTTGGAGAGTGTCATCGAAACGAGTGCACACGAAATACGTGCAAAAATGGAGCTGTTTGCTTAAATCACGGCCCTACGTACAGGTAATGCCCGAAAGCCCTGAATAATTGATTGACCGTTGATCGCGGGGATTTGATTAATGATTTTTTTTGCAGCTGCATCTGCATGAAGGAATGGGAAGGGCCTGAATGCAGTATTCCCTCGAAGCCATGCCCTCCATCAAACCCCTCGTGCCACAAATTCAGTGGATGAATTTCAAATTAATTAATCGCGAATTTAATATTGATGTCGAGAGACTTTAGGGTGTGAGTTCTTAACGAATGATAAATTCTGTTGATGGGTGTTAATTGGTGACATGTCTATATTTCACAGCGTTATTTAAATACGATATATCAATTCATAATTATCGATTGCTGGGAAAATTATTTGTCCTGGGAGTTTTATTCTCTGTTTTGACTGCCTTATACTGCAGTCTTTCGAAGCGTTCGTCTCTGTTTACATTCTGAGCTGCCTTCGGGTGGTTTAATATTTCAGGTGTTGAAACCTCATGTATTAAATTGACTTGGGTTTTTATTTTTGTAAAATCTAGACATGAAATCTGTTAATTAGTTCAGAATGGAGTAGTGCAATTTATAGTAATCGTTAGTAATCGAATAATTGAGTAATTGAATACGTGTTCAATTCTGTTTTTATACTCCTCTAGATTTTATAATTTATTATTTACAAATCACGGATTCTCTATCTTCGGTTTTGATGTTACGGATGATGTATTGAGGTGGATGAATAAAACAGCTGCCGACAGACGAGCCTGGAGATCATTTTTACTCAGGTCGTGGGACCATTCCACATTTCCCCAGTGTGAAATCTGTAATAATTTATTATGAAAGTGAATACCTCTAAATTATCCTCGGAATTCAACCAGACATATCCATTCAGAAGGATTTAAATGAAGATTTGATCACATACTTGGAATTCTTCCTCTAATCTCGAGAGTTTCACCGCCTCTTCGACGTTGATGAACCTCTCGCAAACTGCCATCATCAGAATAACTGACTTCAGTACATCAACTCCGTACATAAACCCTGGTAAAATAGCTTATGTATAAAAAATAAAAGATCAATGCGTTTTGTTGGTACCTATTAGCGCTGGGTAATCGTAGGAGGCAAAATGTCTTATTAATTTGTCTTTAGTCCCTGGAGGAATGATCGGAGGACTTATACTAGTAGTTTTCGTGATGTCGACCTGATACTTGTCGCAGAACCACTGAATCACTGGGTCCCATTTATCTGTTTGCAGCTTGAATAATTCCTCTGTGTCCTGTGAATGAAATTCAATCGTTTCGGGAGAAAAATGAAAAACTAAAATGATAATCTCCATAAATTTGGAATTTATCTCACTTACGTTCGACTGAAACAACACTGTATCTGTCTCCAGGTAATTGGAAATATAATTCACAATATCTATTCTACTGTACTGATGTGGATTGTCCAATAAAGTACTACAGAGTGCTGTCTGAAAAAAAAATAATGCATCAATTAATCATTCCACCTAAAACCAAACTGAAGACAAGCCTCATTATGCCATTACTAGCTGATTTCCTGAGAAAACCATATCAACCTTTCTTCTAGAAAATTTTGTCCTCTACATAAAGGATCTTTTGACATTTTCTCGTAAACCTCGGGGTTCTCGAGATAATCGAGTAAATAAATTTGAGTTCATCAATTACCAAGTGCATATTGCTCCTGTTGATGGTGTCGTCTTGGCTTTCCCACTCCATGGCCACAGCTAGAGCCAAGGGTTTACTCGATACCTCGAAAACGTTTCCCTTGGGAGTTTTCAACTTCCTCTGGTCCAGGGTGATTTCAAATTTATCACCACTCCCCAGAATATTAGTTCTCCTGTAAAACCTCTTCACCGTAGCTTCACCCCAAAAGAAATAATTCCATTACAACTAGTTTATTCTCAATTACAACCGAATGACTATCCCAATGAGCCAATAATTAATTTACAAATCAAATCCCGAAAAAAAACTCATTAAACCTCATTAATCCCTTTGTAGTTCAATTAAAATAATTCCAAAAATTCCAAAAAATGATTTATAGGTTAACCATTGCCTCCAGGAGTTTCGAACCCCCGAAGAAGAGGTAATTACCCATTTTCCTGACAGAAAGACATCGTGGAAGGTACACCCTCACCCTCGAGCTCAGCATTTCCACTTTTTCACACTTCCTGGTGCCTCAAAAATCCATTTCCACTCCAGAATCCGTGAAAATAATTCCCTTCTGATCCCCAGTATAAATTCAGTTCGAAAATGGCGCGGATGGAGCCGGCAAATGCGCAAAACAGCCGGCAACATCGTAAGTTCACAATCAGTGAATAAATCCCTGACGATATGACCATTGGATTTGGATTCTCCATAAAGATCATCTAGTCATCGTCAAAAATCTCTCGAGATCCGGTTGAATGTGCGACTGAGTGATTGACAAGTGCCAGGAGTTTTTTTTTTTCCATTTTTTTGGGATCATGGGGTCCTTGAGGGTGAGTCTGGGGATTTTGTTGATCATCTGCTTCATCGGTGGAAAAATCGTCGTTGGAGATGATGAGGAGATCTCTCTGACGAAATTCGGATCCAAAACTGGACCCACTATTAAATTCTTCTATTGGTCAGTAATTGCCATCATTATTCTCCTGTAGAACAATTATTTTTATTTTCCTGAAACAACTGCGGTATTAATTCCTTTCTGGTTCTGTAGGTTAACTTGGGAGGGGACATTTATTCGTCTTTTGATTAAATATAATTGTTCAAATTAAAATCATCTGGATGATGATTTATTTATTGATATTAGAATTATTTTTTCAGTTATTCCTGTGGTTACAAGAGAGTTTTTGATGAATACGCCAGTATTTTGAGACAGAAATATCCAGAGCTACAAATTTATGGAGAGAATTACGATCCTCCGGGCTACAACATGTTGCTCGCTAAATTTCTGGTAATTTCCAGACTCCAGAATCTTCGGAGAATAGTCTAGACTGAGCCATTGAGGTCTACCAGAAGAAATTCCCACTGTGAATTAATTATTTCCTTCTTGTCTCCAGGGGACTGCAAAAATCCTAATTATTCTGCTCATTATATCCGGGATAAATCTGGCTCAATGGCTGGGGCAGCAGCAGCAGCCATTCTGGTGGGAATGGTGTCTCAACAATAAATTTTACGCGTGTATCATGATATTTTTTATTTGTAACGCCATCGAGGGGCAATTGATATCCTCTGGAGCATTTGAAATTCATTTCAATGGTTTGTACTCTTCATTTACTGTGAAATCTCTTCTAGTAATCTGTTTTTTGTCCCTAATTTTGATTTTTTGCCCTCAGATGTTCCAGTTTGGTCTAAATTAGAGACAGGAAGAGTCCCTCAGCTACCAGAATTATTCCAAATAATTGATAATCACATTCAAATGCTCTTCCCAGATCGGGAGTCCCTGGAGATGTCGTTCACCAAATAATAATGCTGGAGTGATTTTTTAAAATGAATCTATCGAAATAAACGTTTTTATTACGAATGATTGATTGGATCAATCAAGCGGGATGCATCCACATTAAAGTGCATTAGTTGTCTTTTCACTTGAGACAAGAATCGTCTCGACATCGAGAGTCGCGTGATTGCTTTGCAGTTTTTTTTTTAATTTTTCAAAGGTAAAATGGAGATGAATACGTGCATTGTCGTGTTATGTATATATTGTTTGTGCAGCTCGGGTGGTATTACCAAACGGTGTAAATATGAACTGAAACGTGTCAAGTACTTCATGTTTATCAATTTATGGCTCGACTTTCAGTGGTGAACTGCATTCAAGGGCATTATCTCGAGAACGAAGGGATTTAAGGAGAAAAGTCACAAGTAATTTACTGTAGAGAATTCAATTTTCCACAAAAAAGTTCCTGTAACCTTTTTCAAAAAATTAACCGTTAATGAGATAAAAGCAATAATGATAATTTCATGTTTGTTGGAATCAATTCTGTTTTATTACTATTATTGTTTAATTATCTCATTAATGAAGGGTTTGATGGGAAAGGCTAGAGGAAACTTTTTGTGGAGGATCAAGTTCTCGACAAAAAAGGTCTCTGACATTTTGTCGTAAGTCCACTCGTTGACGAGATAAACAAATAAACTCACGTGTCACTTTTTTAATTGATTAATCACAAACGAGTGTTAAAATTCCCTGCCATAACAGAATCCGAGATTTTTAGTTTGTAATTTTGATAAGGTGTGGGTGAATCGAATCAATTATTTAGTTATTAATTAAATGTCTTTGAAATCTGTAAAACAGAACATCACAAAGAATAAATTAAATAAATCTATGAATTAATCGTGAATTTCATGTAATCATATCAAATTTCCTGGAGAATGAGAGCTAATTGTTGTTTTTTGTTTCATAATATTAAAAAATACATTTGCAATTACATTTACATTGGGTTATGATAGAAGTTCATTTGCTCGTTGAAAGATGGCGGTGTGCTGTGATTTTTTAACAAAGAAATTTCATTTTTTCAGCGACAGAGGGCAGTCCGGCGCTGTGAGACGTCAAACGCGTGTAAAAACAATTTGTTGCCAGAAATTTCGTCGTCATCGCAGAATTATCCAATAATAGTTGACAGTAATTGCCCCTGGAGTCTAATTCAAGCCTCAGAAGGTGAGAAATATAAAATACCGAGTAATTAACGCATATCCGGCGAATTTCCAAGGCTTTCTCAAGTTCCTAACCAATTCATGTCGACCGGTTCCCCAGACTTCCCCAAAGAAATTAATTTCCACGCATTTATCTCATCACCTTCCCTCATTTCCTTCTTCCTAATTATTTCGCAAGTACTCCTACAATTTTTCAATTGATATAATCCCTTGAAACACTGAAAACTGGTTTACGAGAGAAGTTGGCAACTGAGGGAATGTTTCAATTTGTTTTCGTGAATATCTCAGGAATTTTTGGGTTTAGAAGAAAATGTTAGAGGAATTTTTTGTAGATCAGGAAATTCTCGAGGAATAATGTCCTCTGATGTTTTTTCGAAAGCCTGCTCGGTGTCCAGATAATTTGAGAATGAGGATTAGTGAAGTCATTGAGGTTCTGAATTTTTTTGTCCAGGAACGATGGAACATCAATGCAACTGTGGAAATTCTCATTCCACAGCAGAACTGGGGATTCAGTACAATTTATTCGAGAAAATCGATACAATTGGGGCTGAATGTCTCAATGAATCTGAGGAAGGGGCTGGAATAAAGGTCTTCAAACCCTGGGAGGAGCGTCTGAATCACGACAAGGTGAACAAAATTATTGATAAATACTATTTAAAAAATCACAGTTCTCATTAATCTTCCAATTTGTTTTTTGTTGCAGTGTGTGGAGAGTGATGTTGACGATGAGCTGCTCTTCAATATTCCGTAAGTATGATTAAACTTTTAGTTGACAGTGAATCGTCGAATCGTTAAAAATAATAGAAATACTCAAGGCAATTGTCTTTATTTCCTCTTCCTGATATAATTCGACCCTGTATTAATTTCCAGGTTCACAGGAAACGTCAAATTGAAAGGGATAATCATAATTGGAGGTCCCGATGGGTCTCATCCAGCCAGAGTAAAATTGTGAGCTCCCAAAATTTGGAGATTAGAAGAAATTTACTGATTCTCTCGAGATTAATTGATTGAGTTTTCTCAAGGTTCAAGAATAAAGAGCACATGACCTTCGATGACGTCGGCATCACTCCCGATCAGGAATTTGAACTTGTAAAGGACGACCACGGAGTGCACGAGTATCCGATAAAGTGAGTTATTTTTTTTATAAACAATTACAGATAAATAGTCGATCAATCGTGAATCCTGCGATTTCGTGTCAAGGCGAGTGACTTCATGAATTAGTCAATCTGTCCATAAATTCACAATCCCAGTGGAAATATTTATCAAACCATTCGAAATTCTCCGTAAAATCCGAAACTTTGAGACATTCCTCTCACTTAATTCCGCGTATCATTCAATCCACTGGGGCAAAACGGATTGCCAAAAATATGAATAGATCGAGAATTTCCTGATCTTCAAAATGAGACCCTAACGAATTCCCTGACTTCCATTAGTCTCCGGATATTCCGAAAAATATAAAAGCAAGTCAATTACAATTATCAATTCGTAAGAGAAAAATCACTCTTTTCAATTTGTCTTTTCTCAATATCCACTGGGGTAAATTAGATCGTCAAAAATAGGAATAGATCGAGAATTTTCCGAGCTTCGAGATGAAATTCTTCTCAATTCCCCCCGGTCTTTCTTTGTCGAGATATCCACCGAAATGTAAACGCAAATTGAGAGAGAGTAGAAATATTTCACTCGTTCAATTCACTTTGGCTTCTGCTATTGTATTCAATTGAAATACATATTCGCATATAATAATCCTTGGGTTTCGACAGCAGTATAAATAATTTCCGGAGGGCACGTGCGCGTGGGCGTCACACGGTCTCAATCCACGTGGAGAGTAAATGTGTTAACGCAATTCAATTCTGAGATGGGGGACGTCTGTAAATATTGGCTTTTTGCGGTGATGAATGAGCGGAAATTGTTTAGAGAGATTATACCAGTAGCACTGATGATAATTCAGGTTTAACTGCGCAATTATCGAAATCGTTTTGTTCAGCGTTTTATTCCAGTTTTTTTTTAAATTCGATTCGTGAGTTTCATGGGGATTTCCTGTTAAATATTAATTCGTGGGGTAAAATAATTATTAGGAGTCGTAGATATTTAAATAATTAACGGTTAAATCGTGGTAATGGCACAGGGTTGTGAAGTTCTCGTCCGTTCATCATCTGAGTCTTCATTTCGTGGGGAATTCCGGGTCTGAGACCACCAGGATTTATTATATTGGGCTCAAGGGTGAGTGGACACCTGGACACAGACATGGAGTCACCATCTGCAACTATGAGGCCTTCCCCATGGGCTCTGATAACGCTCTCAAGGATTTTAATAGTCTTAATCGAGAGGTTCAATGATTGGGGAGAATTGTCAAGAGGAGAAGGTGTCAATAAATTCATTTTTTACGGTTGAAAAATTTATGGTGGTTTTTCTTGACGTCTAGGGATCCTTCGACAGATCTGGTAATCCTCGGTAGGAATTTTCTGCGAGTTGAATCCATTTTTTTCAATAGAAAAATCACTCGTTTGAGATCTCGGTACTGCGTCACAGAATTCGGGGAATATCTCGGGAATTTATGGATTTAGGAAAAAATGTTGTAGAATTGTTTTTGTAGCGGATTTAATTTTCTATAATAAGTTTATTTCACATTTTTCTCTATCATTGATAGTTATGGAGTTATAATCGAATTTATCTGCTCATGATTGGGCTCTTGATTTCTGAAGCAATCAGGGACCAATTTCCAAAATTCTGAGAATATCTCGATAAATAACGGGTTTAGCAGAAAATGGTATGAATAATTTTTTGTAGGGAATTGAATTCTCTGTAGAATATTCCTCTAACATTTTTGTGTAGAACCGATAATTATGGACATATAATCAAAGTTATTAGTTGATTTCAAGGATCTCTCATTTTTTGAAGAAATATCTCGGGAATTTCTCTTTTTTTCTGGTAGCATTTGGAAATTTTCTGATAGGACACATATCAAAAACGCAATATCGGCTAGAAAATGTATTTAGGGTAAAAGTGCATTTAACCGCTGGTTCATTCCACCGAGTTCTATTATCGTCGACTCGTTATTTTGGGAAAGGGATGAGACACGCGATCGTGTACTGGCAGTCACTGGACTGTGATACCTTGACAATCAAATAAAACAATTCACAAAACACGAAGTCACGACAATTATCCATTGTTATAAAAATAATACTCGATGAAATCTTGAACAAAATATTATCCATTGAACCAAAACGATGAGTGACGTAAAATAAAAATAATGAGTGAACGAATAAGAAATAGAGAAAAACCTGGGAAAATCAAGTCAACAGTTTAATGAGCAATAATTCTCGTTATTGACTGAGGACTTGGGTTTATTTGCACGGTAAATAAAGATTTGCACGCCAACTGACAGATGGTAGATGCTTTTTATCCCTTCCCCAGTTGATTTCTTCCGTTTCTCGTTCTCCCCTGAGCATTGATATCACCCTGTCGTCGGTTTTATTATTCAGACGGGGTCGAGACACTCGACGCATCAGTAGAGAACATTTTTCCGGAAATCCGTGAGTCCGCGAATCCGCGAATCCGCGAGTCGGCGAGTCCGCGAGTTCACGAAAATTTAGAATCAATTATTTCGATTATTTTCCTGAATTTTTGAGCTTTTCCAGCTGTTTATTTTTTGCGTTATCCCCTGGGCTATTGGTTTAATTGTTTATTGTGATATTTTTTCGTGGAATTTCTCTCTTCAGCAATTTATGAGTGGTGGCACCACGTGATGTGTCTCAGTGCTGATAAAATGTGATTTTAATGCCGCTATTGGTAATGGGAAAACAATTTTTTATCTTTACGTAGATAAGGAATCAGTCGATGATTCGATTATAATTAATATTTTATCGGTGATTTGGGGGTTTTTTTGGGTTAAGGTTTAAGTGGGAAGGAATTGTGAAAATATGTGAGTGATTTTTTGACTTTCTTCGGTTTTTCGAAATTCGTTTATAGGACATATCTCGTTAATGAGTGGCTTTGGAGAAGAATGTTGGGGGAACTTTTTGAAGAGCAGTTTTTCATCGACAAAAAAGTCCTCTGGCGTTTTTTGATAAGTCAATTTGTTATCGAGATAATCGCCCATTCTTTAGCGCATGGAAATCATTTGATGACTAAGAACAGCAAATTTCTGCTAATATTCTGTTATTTATCTCGTTAACACGTGGTTTTATTGAAAAATGTTGTAGGAACTTTTTTGTGGAGGATTAAATTTCCAACAAAAACATTCTCTGACGTTTTCTGATTGCTCCGTGCGTTACTGAGATAATTTCACATTCCCCCTGGTGTGATACCAGATGGCAATTTCGGAATAACTTGAGCTTAAAAAATTAAAAAATAATGAGTCATTGGAAGATTGAGCTAATCGAATTTTCCGTGTGAGAGGTGTTACTCGTTTACTGATAATTGAGTCAGGCCAGACCTTTGATAGTGAAATTAAATTGTAATTAAAAGACACGAGTGCATTTGCAGCACTGGACGAACACTTGCGACATACGCCACTTATTCAAGTCCCACTTTCATTATTTTTCAATGATAAAATTAACAATTAATTCCACAAAAACTCATAAACCTCATGCAGAGAGTGCAATTCTCATAAAAAATTCAATTACTCGTGCCAATTACTCGCGCAACGAAGAGTTATTTTCATTTCCTCATCAACTCTTCAAAAGAATTTAATAAAGTCCAATTATAATTTATAATTATCGTATATTCATGCATTGAGGAATTAATTATTAAAAAATTAATGGAACGGGGGCAATTGATATTTATAGTCTCAAAAATAAATTGAAATAATGAAAAATATTCATTTAAGCAGATAGAATCATTTAAATAATTTGTTAAATGACAGAAATTAATCATTCGTAACTATTTCGTTCAATTAAATTCCCGAGACGTAAACACTTCAATTCTCGGCTCAAAATTGTTGACAAAAATTTATTTTGAAATTATATAACGACTGGAATTAATTCCCCAATCAAAATGCTGTTGACAAAGAAAAAAATCTCGTTCATTAAAATTTTTTTATCAGTGCAAGCGTAGAATAAATAAATGGGAATTCCATAATCACGGGATTATTGGCTGACTAATTTCTTTGTCTCAATCTCTCGTTACAGTATTTTTAATGTCAGTAATTAGTCAATGTAGGAGTAAAAAAATCATCGGATAAATTATTTTTTCATATTTTTTTCTGATTTTTTAATGACATCATGTCTTATCATCTGGTTATTTTCCTCGGGGCAAAGATCAACTGCAACTAGGTCGTTAACATCACATCAGGAATTGAGTTGCGACGTGAAAGTCGAATGAACGAGTTTATTTTTCCGAGGGCAGCATTTTCTTTGTTGCTATTGCCAATTTATTGTTCGTTGTTCTATAAATTGAATTCGCTATAAATAAATGCCATTCGACTCGTCAGAATTTCCGTCACCTTGCCAATCCCTCGGGAATTTGTTTTACAATTGATTCTTTAAGGGATTAACAAATTATTTATTATTAAAAAATATTAATTGTTCAGTTTGACATTTTTTTCATTTGAAATTAAATTTCAAATTAAATAGATATAAACATCAAATAAAAAATTGAATCTAGTGGAAGTTAATAAATAATTTGGAGATTAATAGAAAATAGATTTTTTTGGGTGGAAAATTATCAGGTTTTGATTTTCTAGGTCGAATTGTTTAAATATTTAGGGAGAAAGGGGAAATGGAATTTTAGATCGTGAAAAATTGATGTATTTTGATGGATTTTCTAGGATAGGGGAGGAAAAGGGGTGAAAAGGGGTGAAAAGGGGGTGATAAGGGGTTTCTGATAAGGGGATTTGAGAATTTAACTCCAAGAAGCACTTGGAGGTCATTATTTCCCGAGTTCGAGAAGAAAGACATGAGTGATTTAGCATTCACCCCTCTCTCATCACCTTTTGTTGAAAATGAGGCGCGTGTGACCCTTTGATACCTTTTTTTTCAAGACCCACTCGAGTACTTTTCACGTAGCACATGGTACAGAGTCCCTCGATTATTCAGTGAGTCATCGCTGAATTTTTAGGATTTTTTTTCATTTACCAGTCAATATTTAACCAGCGGTTTAGGGAACATCAAAAACAGTGATAAGCCCTCAGTTTTCCTATTTTTATTGTTTTATCATTTTATTTTACTCGAAAAACGAAATCGAGCCGTCAATTTCGAAAGATAAACGTCAGAATATGATGTTACAATTTATTTATTATTATTATTATTATTATTATTATTATTATTATTTTATTTTGAACGGAATCAAACGGAAAATTCAGAGAAAATTTGTTAATTAATGGGTGTTTTTAATTTCTGTTGTTTATTTATTTTGAATTAAAATCGAAAAATTATAATTCGACATAATTTTTTTTCGTTGAAATATTGGGAATAATTTCTCAGCCTTGCAGTCACTGATAACTTATCATCCATTCTCAGCATTTATTTTCCGTTTTCTGTGACGGTTATAGAGTAAAACTTGACAAATTTTCGATAAAACAACAAAGTTATGGCATAAGTTTGCAATGTGTTATCTGAATGCGTTTCCTGCGCACAGACGTATTTTCCCACCGCCAGTGATAGAGAAAAAAAAAATATATTCTGGAGGAATGTTCAGTCGAGAGAACGTAATTTCCTCAGTTGTTCTTGAGACTCCAAGTGCGCGGTTCTACGAAAATTCATCGTCATTGGAACACTTGTTCAATCATAAACTATTTATTAATAAATTAAAACAAACAGAAAAAAAAATTAAGTCTCAACAATTTTTTAAAAGGAGTGATTAAAACTATTTAATTCCCTCGGTAAAACTCTTCCTTCAAATCAATTCATCCTCGAAGATGATTAATTAACATAAATTTATTAGTGTCAATTAATTAATTTTTCAGTGAGAGTGAGAAAGTAATTTTAATTTTTCAATTAAAAAATGGTTTAATAATCAAAATCAATTGAAAATCGAATAAATAATAAATCGACAAGCCAGAGAATAAAACAAGAACTCTTAACTCAGTGGATGAAATAATTGTCCACTCGATAAATAAACAATAAATAAAAATCTAAATTCGACGAATTAATTTGAAAAATCGACGTTCGGAGTGTTTTTTTTTTCGCTGGAGTTAATTACCAAGTGATATCGGTGATATGATCATTAATCAGAGATTATTGATACCCCCACTCCAGGAATTGTCTAAATTGTTATCAATTCGTGACGTACGCAAATAGAATTTGATAATTCATCGGATTCCCCGAGAGATTAAGTGTGAAAATGAGATAGTGGTGGTGACAAAGTGAAATGTGCGCTCCTGAGAGACAATTGTTCAGTGGTACCTAGTCCATCGGTCATTGCGGTATTATCTTTTTTTTTTTAAATAAATTCCACGTGGCGAGAGGAAAAATGGCACATGCTGTTGAGAATCCGGAGGAAAAGCAGAGAAAGAAAAATACTGATGATTTATTCGAACCAGCACCACCCCCCGATGGGGGGTGGGGGTGGGCGGTGGTTTTCGCATCCTTCATGATTCATATCGTCAGTGAGTACTGGATTTTTAAGTAATTGCCAATCAATTATCGCCATTTAATCACGAGACTTCGTTTTTTGTTGTTTCTTCCTTTTTATAACGATTTATCTTGAAATCTATAGATTTTAGAAGAAAAGGTGAAAAGATATTTTTTCTCGGAAATTTAATCAGCTAGAGAAAAGTTCCTGATCGTTTTTTTGTGAAATTGATAGTTTATTTAATTTTCATGCTGGAAACGTTTCTTCCGGGATTTTAGAACTTTTTGGAATATACAGTATTAAAAAGATCGATTTTCCCTGAAAACTATTGAGTTTAATGAGACATGTGTAATTATCTTTTTTATAGGAAATTGAATTACCTTTAAAAAAGTCCTCTCGCGTTTTTCACTGGAATCGATAGTTCTCGAGATAGATCGATAATTAATAAAAATTATCAGTTCGATGTTCAATTCGACTTGAAATAATTACCAGATTAACAATAACTTTCACCCGCACATGAGAGAAAACAAATTGATGAATTCTTTATCTGCGTTGACATCCGTTGAAAAGAGAAATTATATAATCCATGGAAAAATATTTCCAAAATCGTTATGAAAACAACTCGACAACCACTAGGTTATCAGAAATCCAAGAATGAATGGAATAAAAAATTATGAGTAAATTATTCATGAGTCACCGCAGGAAAATCACGAGAATAAAAAAGTTTTAAAAATGTTGAATTCACTGAATTATTCATAGGGATTATTATTCATCTAAAGCCTTTTCTAAATTTAAAAAAGTGCAGAACTTCAAAAGAATTTACCAAACGATAAAAAAAACTGCAGTTCTTCCCCCAAATTCAATAAATTCTTTAATTAACAACAAAATTATCACAATTGAAGCCTCAATATCCGGTCTAATTATCAAAGAATGATTTCTTCATTAAATCATATTTATAATTAACAATCTCATCTTCTGGTGACGTTTTTTAGTGAAACCCCAGTTTTGTTTTTTAAATTATCTCTCAGTTTCCCTCTTATTGTAATTATTTATACAGTTATCCTTTCAAGTCGAGTGATAACAGCGATTATCAAGTATAAATAGTTAATTGAGATTAGAGTAAACCCCAGATGATTCGAGGAAAACGATAAATTGTGATTACCCACTCGATTAATTCTACTTCCTCGACACTTGTTGCGTGACCCCTCGGTAATAGAATCCTCTCATTACAAAGAAATTATCACAAAGAAACGTCATTAGACCTCTGTTGTAGGGCAATGAAAAAATTTCGTCATGAAATTAGATCAATGGGGCACAACTCTTTCGTTTTATTCGATAATGGAATCATCGTTTCAACTCATTTCGAATTATTTCAATTGAATCTTCAACAAAGACAATTAATTGGATGATAAAAGCTTCTATAAATAATTCGCTTCAATTTTTATAAACGTTTGTCATTCACTCGTTCGATTTTTTGTTTCTAATTTTGCCAGAAAATTTCATAGAACTCGTTCAAATGATTTTTTCATCAGAATTTAACTGTCCACCTTCCCACCCACAGGGTAATTTCCTGTAGGAAATTGATTGATTAACAATAATTGAAGCTCATGAAATTGTTATTAAAACCATAAACAATTCATTTTCACTCAATTTTTTGATAATTATAATAAATCTGATGCCTACAAAGCGAATGAATGAAAAATAATTGAAATCCAAATTTTCCACCCGAATGAAATATCGATTAATCTCGAAAACTATTGATTTGACGGAAAAATGTGAAAAGGCTGTTTTTCTTGGAAATTCAATGATATACAAAAAAGGTTCCAAAAATTTCCCCGAGAATTTAATATTTTTCAAGATAGAGCGGAAATAACGAAAAATGTTGAATTCGACTTGTCTAATTGCGCGTCTTCGCTACAGAATTTGTTCAAATTTATTTATTAATTGTTTTTACTGTTTTCAATTACAGCCGATGGTGTGACCTACTCATTCGGTGTATTTCACGTTGAGCTACGCAATTATTTCGGAGCTGGAGACGGCGCCACAGCATGGATTGCTTCAATTCTCGTTGGAATTACTCTTTGCTCTGGTGAGTGGCATTTCATTCAGAGAGATGACATTTTGATAAAAATTTTGCAGGCTTCGATGATGATTGAGTCCGTCCTTCCCAGGCTTCTCTCGATATCTCCACATTTTCAAATACTATCCCCCTATCACTAGAAATTCAATCCTAAATTATTTTCCTCTCAATTTTCACGTAATTTTTACTAAAAATAAAAATCAGAAGACAATTCCCATTATTACAATTTATAAATCATTGTTTACATAAATTATATCTTTTCTAAAAGATCTCTGGGATAAGTAATCAGAAAAACAATTTATATCTGCGAAAATAATTCACGGCTAAAAAATCCCCCGATTGTCGAATCCAATGGAAAAAAGAAAATGAGAACGACCTACAACAGCACGATCAGCTGTTTACGAATAAAATAAAAGGTGTTGACTCACCACGACGGTATCATTTTTGAATAAAATTGAACGAAGAAAATACGTCATTCGAATAGTAAATTAATAATGATAAATACATGAATGCCTCTCAACTAATATCAAGTCGCCAATTGAGGAATTAATTAATCAGAGGAAAAAAATACAGCGAAAACGAGCGATTGAGTAAAAAAAATTACAATGAATATATGTGGATAGATATGGATATGATATATTCGGTGGATTATTTTTCTTTCTGTTCTCAGGACCAATTGCCAGTATTTTTGTTAATAAATACGGATGCCGCATGGTGACGATCGTAGGAGCGATTCTCTCCAGCATCTGTCTTCTGATGAGCCACTGGGCCCAGAGTATAATTATTCTATACTTCACCATCGGTCTGGGAACAGGTAAGACCCAATTAAATCATTCTATCCTCCTCGTTCAATTTATTTATTAAAAAATCCCTTCAACTTTTAAAAAATTTCACCCCAGAACGCCACAATTCGAATTTGAATTTTGTCAAGTGTCGATTGACCGGAAACTATTGATTTTACAATAAAAGATCAAAAGACCTCTTGTCTTGAAAATTTCATCAGCTCGATAAAAGTTCTCTATCATTTCCACCACAAATCGATAGTTCTCGGAATAAATCGATAATTCTGGATAGGTAAATTCTCAGAAAAATTCTCAATGAATTCCTGACTTCCTAAAAAGTTTTTATACTTCTCAATTGCAATCGTGAGCGAGTGGAAGACAATTTGCTAGGTAAGATATAGTTATCCTTTAATAACCCCTCGCAATTAATTAAACTTCCTTCTAAACGAAAAGTTAATGAAAAAATATTTTCCAGTGGAGATGGAGTAATTGAATTTCGTCTGGTTTCAGGTCTTGGATTCGGTCTTATTTATCTTCCGGCGATCGTCTCGGTGACCTGTTACTTCGAGAAACTCAGGTCATTCGCCACGGGAATAGCTGTTTGTGGATCTGGACTGGGTACTCTTGTTTTTGCACCTTTTATTGAGTATCTCATCGTGGAATATGGGTGGAGAGGAGCGATGCTCATTACATCAGCACTTGTCCTCAATTGCATTATCTTTGGGATCATGTTCAGACCACTGGAGCCAATTAGAAAGGCTATGGACATTCCCCTGCTGGTTAGTGAATGACATTCGCGTTTATAATTTTTCTTGAAATTTTTTTTACACCTTGTCTTTGAAAAATCGTCTGGAATTTTCCCCAGGAGTTGAGCAAACCTGAAGCTCCCACGAGCTTCAAGGTTCCTCAGACTAATGGACTCTCATCCAACGGTTTTGACAGACCCCACAGTGTGACGAATGTCAATCACACGAAATATCAATTAATTCCTGAGAGTGAGGATAAGGAAAATCTCATGAGAATTGCACTGAGTCAACCAGTCCTCATCTCCAAAACTGGACATTCCCATCGGTCCAGGGACTTTGGCAGTGGTCTCATGCACAGGAAGGACATCCTGTACCAGAAGAGCCTTGAAAATATCCGGAAACGATCGTAAGTGATTAACAATAGCCTCATTGAAACGATTACAACAATAATTAAACGAAGCATTCATATAATCGATAATTATCTCGGTACCTATCAGACTTACCATAAAATATTAAAAAAGCTTTTTCATAGAGAATTGAATTTTCTTGAAAAAGCTTTTAGTGACTTTTGCTCGTAAGTCCATTCGTTTGTGAGGTAATCACATTGTTTGTGGAGAGTGATGTAGAATTTTTTTGTACACGATACGAGGACGAGGATAGGAAAGAGTCGAGGATATAAGATGATATATAATTGGTAAAAATGGGTTTCAGAGCATCTCTGGGTTCTCGAGACCTGCACATTACCCTCAGGGGATCCCTCTCGAGTCTTCCCAATGGTATAGAAGAGAAACAGGGGCAGAATAATAATTCTAAACAGACAAAACCACTGAGTGCTTTTCAACAAATGTTACAACTCTCTTTACTGAAGGATCCCGTGTTCCTGCTGTTTGTTTTCTCAAACTTCTGTACGAGCATCGGATTTAACGTGCCTTATGTATATATTATAGTGAGTACCAGCATTGCATAATTAAAATTCATCAATTTCGTATAAAATCCATTTTTATTTTCGTCAATATCGCGTTGACATCAGATTTCACAGGAAAATAATCATTTAATAATTATCGACAGGGTTTAGCTGAAGGAGTTCAAATAACGAGGGAATCAGCATCATATCTATTATCAGTGATAGGTATCGCAAACACTGTTGGACGAATCGTTCTCGGTTTTGTCGCGGACAAACCCTCGATTAATCGTTTAGCCATCTACAATATTTGCTTGACAATTTGTGGAATTTGTAAGTGATATCAATATTTATTTCAAGGTAATCGGTGGATAATTGTCATTGATATGAATTTTCAGCGACAGTATTAGGAGCATTTTCTCCCTCGTACACTTGGTTTGTTATTTATGCATCTGTGTACGGATTTACTGCCGGTGCTTATGTGGGACTGACGTCTGTCATCCTAGTCGATCTCCTGGGGCTCGATTTACTGACCAACGCCTTTGGGCTGTTGTTGCTCTTTCAAGGATTGGCGTCATTACTTGGCCCTCCAATTGCTGGTAATTTGATCTTTCAATTATTTATCGTTTTAAATTCATGAATGAGTTTTGCAGAAAAGATATTATAAATAGAAAATTCCATGGAATTGAAGTTTCTTTGCAATCAATGCACACTAATTAATTATTTATTTTATTTTTGTGATTCAGGATGGCTGAGAGATGGTCTAGGGTCTTATAAACCTGGTTTTGTGGGAGCTGGACTGATGATTGCGATCAGCGGTCTCATATTGTTCTTAATACCAGTTTTACAGAGAAAAGTCAGGAGGAAAGAGGAGAGAATAACGGCTCTAGTTGTACAATCTTAGGAGAACGAATAAATATTGTTTTATTACTGCTCAATGGCACGTATGCCTTAAAACCATCACAAATTCCACTGCTCCATTAACCTAACTGCCATCAAGCATTCCTAATTATTCAGGTAATTATTAATCAATTATGATTTTTACACTGAATCATAAGTTCAATGGAAGTAAATCAATCTGTTTATTTAAAAATTCACAGATGGAGTCGATTAAGGGTGTAATTGAAAATTCTGGGAATTCAAATTTTTGATAGTTTCCCGCTGGTGCTTGGGCGATGGAGGCGCCCTCTCAGTTATTCATTTACAAATCAGCCTTAACAAAACGTCCAGAACATTCCACCTTCAATACCTCTCACAATCAAACCCTCAAAACTCTCCTGAAAGCCTCTCTCATTCCCATTACACCCCTCATCCTCGGAAAAATCACCTCATCCCCTGAAACCGATTAAAAAATCCTTTCCAAAAATTGTTCATTATCTCAAAAAAATCTCGAAGTGTTGGCTGAAAGTAATCGACGCCAAAGTGATCGTAAAAGTCCGCCATATTTTCTCCAGTGAGTCACCCGAAGTCTTAAGTGTTCGGAAAAATTCATTTCTCACAGGAAAATTTCAGTGAAAATCAGTGCCACGAATAATCGAAATTCCCAGAAAATTCGCTTACTCAAAAATCTTGAAAATTATTTCTCCACTGAGAAATTAATTTTCAATTTGACTCACGTATTTTTCCGTAATCAATACGCAGTCTTAACACGTCGCGTCCCCATGGCACCCTGTGCGGGGTCTTCAGTTACCCCAAGTGCCTCTGCAAGTGATAAATCTGATTAAAAAAAAAAACGTTTGTTGTCATGAAAAAACGACAGGTTTCCGGATTTTTCGGGATTTTGTAATTCAAAAAATTGTCATTTCAGGCGCCCGCCATTTTGCCAGCATGGCGGAACCCCGGGATGACGCGACGTCGGAAAAAGGCGCGGAAAATCCGAAAATCCATGGGCAAATTCCCGTAACTAATTTTCCGAGGTTTAAAAAAAATTTAAAAACAATTTTTGCTATGATTTTTTATTAATAATTGTTTGTTTATAAATTGCATCAGTGGCTACGTCATCCTGCGGTGCATCACGGGTGGAGAAGGAACATCTGAAATTGAACCGCTCCCCCTCCACTTACATCCCCACCAAAATTGCCCGAAAAACCCGCGAACCTCCAAAAGTCATTTCCACCTCCAAAAACCGCCAGAAAAAAGATTTGAAGATTTTTTTTCAGGATTTCAAAAACTTGGACAACTGCTGTAACCGCCTGAAATCACCAGTGAGGATTGACTGCTCCAAAAAATCATCAAAAACCGCCAAAAAAAGACAACAACATCCGCTGGGACTCAAATACTCCTCTCGCCACTCCCAAATTTCCCCTCAAATCAAAATAAAACATTAAAACCATCAACCCCTCGCTCCTCTCCAAAAACAAAAATTCTGTACCAAAAAAGAAAGAATTCAAATAAAATTTTTAAAATCCCCCTTCCGTATGTCTCCCTTCCCCTCCCTCTCCCCCCTTAATATCTAAGATGTGTACAGAATGAAAAAGGAGAAAAGAAATACCCGTAAAATAAAAGAAAGTTGAAAGAAAAAATTGTCCATCTAATTTCATACAATTCAAATTTTCCCGCTATCAAGTTCCCCCACTCCTCCCGCGCGTCGATGCGGTGCCTATAAAAGCGAGGAGAGGTGGAGATGTCCCCCTAGTGTGCGTTCGTGTCTCGTGGCCGCGTGAAACTCCCGGAACAGTGGAAAGTGAAATCTCCGAAGTGAACCGAAGTGGAATGCGGTAGCCATTGTTGGATATCCGAAGCGATCGTTACATTCTCAGTGCCGAGTCTAAGAAACCGTCGTGTAAAAATCATCCCCGTTGAGTGTTGCGAAAAAAAAAAACATAATTGGAGTTGAAAAAAAAATTCAATCCACAAGTCCATCCCTTTAGCAGTGACCACTACCAATCGTTTGATTATAAAATAGTGAAAATATCTTGTTACTCGTGTTGATTGGTTGTTAAATACCCGAGGCGTCATGCTAGTGAACTGAAACGTTACCACGGCGTTACACGAGTGAGACAGACGCATTGTAAAAGTGAGTGGTTGTGACAACGGTGGGAGAAACAACTTCGGGGTCGGCCATAATACCCAAACGGACCAACCAAACTCATCAAGGGAGAAAGCGCTGAATTATTTCACCAAGGCGTTGTGCTTGTGTGTGTTACAACAATTGTCAATAGCCATTTCATTGATCAGTGGATTATTATTTGTCGATTGATCAACGTGGATTTTTAATGGAGTTATTCAGCAGGTAGGAGCTGAGTTTCAGTTTTTCACACTTTATTTTGGAGGGAGAGGTGTAGGAGGGGGGTAAGGGACGGAGGGGGGGCCTTGGGAGCTTTCTTCGGTGGGAGCACCGCCATGTTGAATGAATGGCGATGCCTAATTGTGTCTGTGAGTGGAATTTTTACATTTTTCCGGTGTTTCATGGTTTTTTAATTCGGTTTTGTTTATTGCAAATGGTTGAGTAGCGTGAGGGGGTGGTTTTGAGGCTTTTTGGTGGGTCTCAGAGGGGGTAGGAATGGGGTGGTGGATGGATGTGGGTGCGGGTGGAGGATGGAGTGATGGACGTGTTGATGTGGGTTTTTGGGATTTTTTTCGGAGTCCTCGCGGATTTTTCGCGGGTTTTCTGGGGGGCAGGCATCGGGATTTTTTTTTCGTCGGGGGGCAGGGGTTGAGGGTGGTGGTGGGTAGTTGGGGGTTTGGGTGGC